GCTTTGTAGCACAGGCAAATCCAAGATCTGCCCTCGATGGAATGTAAATGTAAGGCACATTAAAGTCTTCGCATAGTATTGGGATGTGAGTGATTATATCTATAGGTGAAATATCTCCAGCAATCACGACAAGACTAGACGTTCCAAAACAAGTATATAATTGTTAACACGTTTAAATGTAATGAGGGTAAATATAGAACTATATTAGGACGAATATTCGTCCAGACTTACAATAAATAGTTATTTACCCTTTATGTCCTTTTTTTAGAGCTTTGACTACTTCCTTGACGCCGCGTCTACAATGTCTCTTTCTTGAAGCTAACCATAATGCATTAAATATTATGCTAAAATGAACTTCTGAATAAAACCGTTGAATTCAATGTTTAGTAACAATTTTTATTCCTTAATACCTTTTCTCACAACCTGCATTAATTCTAGGGTGAATTCTTCAGTGGCTAAAGGTGAAGCAAATGATATCAAAGCGCTCAAGTCATAATGTACTACCATAGAAATATCTTTTTGTGCTGTCGCTGTTTCTGAACTATTCTTTGAAACTTTCTCAGTATCTGTCTCTTCCGTTTTTGCAACTATCAATTCAATGTCTTGAGCTAATGATTTACTCTTCGAATGCTCCTTATCACGTTTCTCCTTGTGAGACTTTTTATCCTTCTTCTCCTTCTTCTCCTTCTTTTCCTTCTTTATTTTCGTTTCCTTTTTTTCTTTAGGCATTTTGTTATTATAGAAAATTAGAATCAAAAAAAAAAAAATCTAATCAGATATTTATAGCCAATCATAATTCAAAATTTTCGTTGTTAAAATACTGGGCCAGGTTTGAGATTTATAATTGGCCAAACATATAAACATGTGATAATTAGCCAATAAATTTAAAATTTGTATTTATAATTTGTATTTATTATTAGTAAAGCTTTTGAATGATTTTTTTTTTTTTACGTACGTATTCAAATATTCTTTGGCCTTTAAAATTTCTTATTAGTTACACAATTTGTCATGAACTTATGTGTAAATGATTGACTTACCTAATTTTCATTTGTAAAATTTAGACAAATAACAAAAAAAAACCAGAATATTTTAACAATAATTAATTTTAAAATTAACAAAAAATATTAATTTTAATCTTATCAAAGTAAAATCTTATTTTACAAACTTATTGATTTATTTTATTTTTTTAATATTAATAGTAAGGTTATATCTCTATTGAATATTTAACTAAGATTTTTATATAAAGTTCAAATCTATTTTTAAAATATTATAGCAAGAATAAAAGTTCAGACTAATTTATCTATAACTTAAACCAACTGAAATGGCCAAGGCTTACCTAGATTTGAGTATTAGTAATAATATATAAGAGATTAGTTTAATATTTAATCTATTGTATATATTAAAAGTTAATTTTAGAACTAATAATATTAAGAAAAAAAAGTTATAATAATTATGAAGCAGAATTAGAAGGTAAATTAGAAATAAAAAGATGAATTATAGATCTTGAAATACAGTAAGAAATCTAAATTTTATAATAAATTTGTTGGTTAAGATAAAGTAAGAATTTGATAATAAATGTTATAAATATGTTTATAGATAATAAGTCTATGATTATAGTCAATGTTGTCAAATCTTTAATCATTAATAAATTTATTGGTCATTAGTCAAATAACTTTTTTTTTTTTTAATTTCTTACTGCCTGGTCGCTAGTGGGTCACAGCTGGTAGCTGTTTTATTAGTTCATATTTCAAGTTCACGGGACCTTCTATCAGGACTCCGTCTATATTTTATATTATTTGTGTACATTTTTACAGTACTATCTGTATACTAATTTTTGTGTTTCTATTACCCTGGAATTTCACTGTGATTATTCCTAATTAGGGATTCCTTTGTTCTATTATTATCCTCAGCCTTCTAATCATCATGGTCTTCTTATGTCAGGTTCATTGTCATTTAAGGATCTGGGTACCAAAGATCTTCTTATTTTTGTAGTTCACAGTTAGCTGTGGTTAATTAACAATCATGATCCTAACTTAGTTTTTGTCCCTCATTGGACTTGAACTGGCAACCTTGTGATTGGTGACCTGAGAGTGTAACCACTTCACTATTGACCTGCAGGTCTTCAAATAACTTTTGGTTTGGTCAGTTTGATTAAATTGGTCAAATAATATGATTACACAGACCAATCAGACCAATTTAACCAGTTGGACTATGGTCAAATTGGTCAAATTGGTTAAATTAGTTAATTAATGAATCGATATATAGTTATATAAACTGATTAGGTCAAATTGATCTTAATCAATTTGTTGAATTAGTCAAATTAGTAAATCAATAAAATCTTTTTTATATGTTAAAAAACTAAATTATATAACTATATCTGAATTAAGGTCTTTTAATTTAACAAAAAGACTAAATATTATTAATTGATCTGATATTAAACAAGTTGATATTAACCAAATAAATAAATTTCTTATTTAATATAATATAAAAAATTATACTGCTCTATTAAACAAAAGCTTTATTTGAGAATAAGCTAATCTAGCTTTTTAGCTAATATTTATAGTTAACCTTTATTTGTATAATTAATAAAAATCCAAAAAGAATAAAATGCTAATATAAGAATATTGATAAAATTAGAGGTTCTATAATCATCAGAAAAATTTTAAAAGTGATATATATTGTTAGTAATCCCTATATTTCTATCAATATATAGCACTCTCATTGGGTATTATTGATAGTGATTTGTAACGATATATATCAAAATTTTGTTAAATTTTCTTAAACTTTAAATTTAATTTTCTTGATAACTAGTGATTCAAATTGGCTCAAATTTTTACTGTAAATAATAAATATTTGCAACTATAAAATACTAAAGTTTCAACCAATTTAAATAAATAGTTCTTAAGAAATCACTTGTAAACAATAGTTAATTTTTTTAAAAAAATTATTTATCGTTTACAAGTGATTTTGCAAGAACTATTTATTTAAATTGGTTAAAACTTTAGTATATTATAGTTTAACATATTTATTATTTACAGTAAAAATTTAAGCCAATTTGAATTACTAGTTATCAAGAAAATTAAATTCAAAGTTTAAGAAAATTTAATAAAATTTTGAAAATTCATTACTAATCGATAATGATTATAATTATTTATAATCATTATATATCAATAATTGTTATATATCATTAGTAATATATATCAATATATAGCAATTTAATCGATATATAGTGATTATTTTTAATCAATATATATCGATTAAATGCTATATATCGATATAAATCTGCTTAAAAATTTTGCTGATGATTAACTTATTTTGAAAATAAGTAGAGGTTTAAAAGATCTGATTTTCTGATTTAAACATTCTGAATCAAAAAGTTAAATTGGCATCTCTCTTAATATGATTGGCTAGTATAGACAAATACTATGATTAATTAATGATAAATTTGCCAAAAGGTTCATGTTGCAAAATGCAAATATTTCTCATCATGATCATAACTCACTTGGCTAAACAATTTATTTTTATTAATTAAAAATTGAACTTTATACTATTAATTTTAGTGCTTGAGAGCCTTCTTTGTTGGTAATAAAATTAGCTTTCTTTCAGTAAAGACAATTAATTGCAATTTTTCGAACTCAATTAATTGCTACAATTGGTCAATTAAATTGCAATTTTATATAATTAGATTACATATTATAAATTCACCGTCAAGTCAATAAATGCATATGATTTTTGATTTTTCTTTGTTAAAAATCAGGTTATATTAGGTACTGTATGCAGCTTAGCAAGTATAGTGTAAAATTGAATATAATTGCAATTATTACATCATTGGTTAGTTTTATGAATTATGCATCTACTAGTAAGAGATTGTATAAAAAATTATATACTTTTTATCATAACATCAGATATTGAATCAATAACTCTGAAGCCTCCTATTTATTTTATTTTATTTTTACTTCTAATTACAGAGTTTCTATTTTACAAAATACTTCATTAAACCTATTATTAAATTATTTATACTATAAGTAATTCTATAACAAAATATCAAGATATTTGTATATATATACTTAATATTCTTCTCAATAAATAAAAGTTGTATTACTGAATTAAGATAGAATGCACACAATTTATTTATATAAATCAATGTTAAGTGCTGGTTGTAAAAAAATAAAGATTGATTAAAAGATAGAAAGTATTCATGCAGATTCATATGTATGAATAAATATTAAATGCCAATTCAATATAATAAAAAATACACGAATCTGTATGAATATTAGAAAAACATCAATTTATCACTAATTTCAAATTAGTGTGATTATAAAATTTTATAAATTCAATGAAGTCAAATACTACTATCATAATAACAATAAGATTTATAAAATTTTATTACTATACTAATTTAAAAATAGCCATAAATGTCCATTTTTTTTGCGATTTTATATGCTTGTATGAAATGCTATATGTATGTATTTTAGCTTTAAAAAAAAACTTATAATATATTATCTTAAAACAATTATATACAAGACATTTAGAATTTTAGAACTCATCATTAATTTAACACAAATTTGCTTTTAAATAAACCAAACTAGTTATCAAATTCATATTAGTAGAACCAGTCAAAGATAAAAACTATATAAAAAAATAGATGTCAGCATTAAAAAATGTTTCAAAATTATTCCTATAGATTAACAAAGTATATTCATGTTCAAGATAAATTAGGTTCAAACCAAACAGCCAAGCAGGCTATTTGCAAAGCTTGTGAAAGTTATGAAAACATTTTTGAAAAAGGAAAAAATAAAAAACTTAAATTATAACAAATATATGAAAAATAGTGATTTTTTAACAGATGGGATCATATACAATGACACTGAAAGCATTGTTCATATTAGCATAAGTTCTGAGTTGATAAAGATCAGAAAATAATAATATATGAAGATACTAATGAAAATATGACACATAATGCTGTTAGAGTATTGCAACAAGCAAGAGTATGAAATAATATGACTATGTCAGTTGTTTTATTAAATTCTAGAGCTTCAAGTGCCTCAAATGCTTTAGGATTTAGATTTGCTTACAGTATACAAATATCAGAAACTTCTTTAAGCTCATCACATATTAGTAAAGTAAGGCAATCTAAACTAAAAAAAAAATTATGTTTTTGATATATATGTTGTTTATCTATTAACAACAAGCCAGCAATATGAATTTAATCATTTCCTCTTATGCTTAATAATTCAAAATAAACTTGCACTTCAATTTACTGAGTGTAGTACACTTTGTAAATTGGTTGATTTTTTTAACCTAACTGTTAAAATTTTATGTCACAATACACTAAGCACTAAAATCCTTATTAAGTATGCAAATAAACTTGAACAAGAAAAGGTTTCTACTCTTTCAAATTCACAAGAACCTGTTACAATAATGTTCGATGGTTAGAAGAATGTATGCTGCCAAGAAATTTTAGATGCTGTTATTCTCTCTGCAACAAATTAACTATATATATAAGATGCCAAGGATATTAGCAATTGTAGTTAAAAGACTCCTAATATGCTAGACATAATTAATAACTTCTTTGAGCATGCTAGTAATTAAAATTTAAAAGTAGTGACAATAGTTACAGATAGTATATCAGCATATGCCTTCACATAGTATTTATAGATTATAGAAGGTTATGGTATAATTTTCTAAAATTATTTTTCTATAGGCTACTTACTTAACATCACAGAATAAAAATGTATAGCTACAATCAATAAAATGCTAACTCTAACATTATGTAATGTTGTATAAGTGATTTATAGAAAACAAACTTTTAAAAAATTAAGCAACAACTATTATAAGGATGAAGAAAAAATCTTTTAAAATAAAAAATAAAAAAAATTTTAAAAAGATAAAAAATTAATTATAAATATTATTTATCAGATATAAAATATGATTACAAAAACATGATATTGTATTTCTTTTATGCTTTGCCCATCAGGCAAACCTATGTGTTAGTAATATATTTAAACTTTCATCAGAATATAAGCAAACAGTAAAACATGCTATTGTAGTTGCATCATATTTTATTGATAAGTGGCACTCAAAAGCAATAACATTACTTTGTAATAAACAATAGAGGATTTACAAAAAAATTTATAGCTTTATGCTTCTAGTAGCCATCTGTTAAAACTTATATTACTATTGCTTTGCAACACTTTTAAGAAGCAAACATGCTTTACAGTCATATTCAATCCTATATTCAAATTCTTTTGATTATCAGACAAATCTTGAATCATCATTAATAATATTCAATTTTAGACCTATCTTGAAGAGTTGGTAAAGTATCTTCTCCTCTTTGTCAGTATTCTGGATTATCTTCAGTATGATGCAGCCAACCTTTTTAATATTGCCTATGTATTCAGATATGTAGCACAGCAATATGAAGATAATATTGATGGATTTGGTTACTAAATACAACAGAAACTTGAAAAAAGATAAGCAGATTGGGAGCAACTTCTTTTCTTTTAGCCATTATATTTCATCTGCAATATTATATTCAGGCTTTGTTCAATATTAATATTTTTTCTCTCGAGTGAATAACATATTAGATTAAATATTATTATAAAATGTAGTTTGGTGTAAAACCAAAATATGTAGCATTAGAATTAACTGAATACTATATAAGACATAGTATATTTAGTGATAAGTAATTTAAAAACACTATTGAGACTATTTTAACAGAAAATATGTTAATAAATAATGCAATTAGGCTTGCACTATTGTAATATTAGGAATTTGCAGCAATTGATCAAAAAGAGATTGGTAAGGTTGCCTTTAGGTTGTATAGTATTAAAATTAATTCTGCTTTATATAAGCACCTTTTTTCCAAAATGGAATGGTTTTAAAGCTCAAGACATAGTTATCTCAAAATAAGTAATAACTTAAATTTGGTTTAATAAAACATAACAGAATGTCTTTACAAAAAAAAAAAAAAAAAATCTAAATTTATGCTAAACTTATCTTGTTACAGCTACAAATGATATTTAGAATAACTCAAGTTGCAGCTAAAATAACATAAGAAGAATGCTTAGAAAATGCTAAAAAATTTACCAAATTGTTACTAAGAATCTTGTTACTGTTTTGATCAATAGTAAAGAAATAACACCAATATCTTGCTATGAGTTTCAGTCAAAATCAAACCTTGAACCAAGAAATAACATGAATGGTTTTAATGAGCATATACTGATGTCTGATAGTGATGAAATTCCTAATGATAATTATAAAAGTGAAGATTATAATAGTGATGACTATGCAAGTGATAAAAGTTAATCTATTATCAGAGAATGAGTTAAGGTTGAAAAGAAAAAAAAAAGAAAAGAGGAAGAAAAGAAAGAAAAAAAAAGAGAAACTTGAAAAATTAAATGCAATCTCTTTTAATGCTGTTAACATGCATAAATATCATTTTGCTAAATATAAAAATTCAAAAATTAAGCTTTAGCATCTTTTTACATATGATTTATCACAATCATCATTTGTTTGTACACTTTAGCAATAAGATGATTCTAACTAGATTTTTTTATTGAATTAGTTTTAGAACAACTTTAGTATTTATAAATGATTCTTTGTTAAATATATCTAGTTTTTGAATTTTTATAATAAATAATGATGCCAATATAATACAAAATTAAATGAGTAAAATATATTATCTGTATCATTACAAGGCTTCAGGTACAATTTCTTAAATTGAGAAATTGATGTTTAATTAATTTGATATAATTTTTGATACTAAACATATGAAATGACTAATGTAATTAGCCAATTACTCTATATTAATATGCAAACTTTATATTTAGAAACAAAGAACAATATAAGTAAAAAAAGTTTGAATTAAAATTATACTAAATTATATTATAATAATCTCAAAAAAATTACCACTACAGATAGTGTGCCTATTCAAGAATATAATTTAATAAATTATTAAGATTTAATTAGAAAGTTCTGAAGCCTCTAACAGTACAGACTGACTTATTTATTATTTTTTAATAAATAATTATACTGATATATAACAAAATTAAATATTTAAGTAAAATATATTAATATTATTTTTTATTCAAATTTTTTAAGCATCTAATTAAAAGACTAAAACCTAATTTTTGATTAGTAAAATAGAAAATAAATTATTTGAGTGAGTTTATTATTAGATAAAAAAAGAATCTGCTTTTTTTTTTAAAGAGTTGTGCAATATGAATCTGACAAAATTACTATAGCAGTTAGAAATGAGTAAGGTAATTGTAAGTATAAATTGTTGCACAATATGATTTGATTTTTTATATAATAAGTAATTACCTTGCTCATCTCTAGTAGCAGTAGTATTTTCTTAGTTATATAGACTAATTAGACCAATTTGACCAATTTGATCATAATCAAATTGGTCAAATTGGACTAATCAGTCTGTGTAACTAAATCTGTTAACTGATTTAACAAGTTTCAAGATGCTTGGACCAGACTAGTCATTGGTTAAATTAGTCTGGTTAAATGTTATACAGACTAATCAGATTAATTTGACTAATACAACCATGGTCAAATTGGTCTAATTGGTTTGTATAACATTTAACCAGACTAATTTAACCATTTTCATAGTGTTTAGACCAAACTGATCGTTGATCAAATTGGTTAGATCAAATAGTCAGACTGGTATGATCAAGCCAACATTGATAATAACAATATCCAAACTAAGCTATATGTTATAGCTAATGAAGATGTTTTTTTTTTTTTTAAATATTAAGGTGAGTACTTGCGACCCAGGATTTTATTGATAGTACATTCAGCTAATGGTTG